TGGTAATGATAATGATAGTAATAGTAATGATAACAACAATGATAAAGATTGATAATAATAATAACAATAATCATGATAATACTAGTAACAAGAAGGATTATACCAATAATAACAATAAGAAGAATAATGGTTATAATAAAAATGATGATGACAATGATATTAATAGCAATGATAATAACAAAAATGATAATAATGATAACAAAAAGGATAATAATGATAATAACAAAAATGATAATAATAAAAAATAGTGATAATGATTGTAATGATAAAGATCGTGATGATAATGATGAAAACAATAATAACAATAATAATGATAATGATGACAGTAATCATAATAAAATGATAAGGATAATGGTGATAGTGATAACCATTATGATGATAATGATAACAATAACGATAATGTTAACAGTAATAGCAATAATAATGATAAGGATGATGATGATGATAATAATAATAATTGATGATGATAATAATAATATCAATAACAGCAATAATAATAATAATAGTGATGATAATAATAACAATAAAACACATGATAATTGTAATGATGATAATAATGATGATAATAATGATTGTAATAATAATAATAATAGTAATAATAATAATGCTAATGATAATAATAATGATAATGATAATAATAATAATAATAATAATAATAATAATGATAATTATTATTATTATCATTATTATTATTATTATTATTATTATTATTATTATTATTATTATCATTATTTTTATTATTATTATTATCATTATTATTATTATTGTTATTATTATTATTATAATGATGACGATGATGATGATGTTGATAATAATAATAATAATAATAGTGATAGTAGTAGTAGTAATACTAGCAATACTAATACCAATACTAAAACTAATAATAATATCATAAATAAAAGTAACAATAAAGATAACGATACAATCACTACTACTATTAACACTAACAAAAACAATAATGATAGTAGTGCCAGTCATGATAATGATAATGATAGCAATAGGGATAATAGTAATGATAATAGTAATGAAGATGATAATAATAATGGTAATGATAGTAACAGTAACAATAATAATAGTAACAATAATAATAATAATGATAATGATATCTATAATAATAATAATGATAATAGTAATAGTAGTAGTAGTAGTGATGATAATAATAATAATAATAATAATAATAATAATTATAATAATAATTATAAATAGAGAAATAAATATATAAATAGAGAAATAAATGAAAAAAAGCAAATAAATAGATAGATAAATAAGTAAATGAATGAATAAATAGACTAGAAAAGCACTCAGAAAGTGCAGACCTCCGCCAAGGTGCGTATATAATGTACTTATACCGCTGCTGCGTCCAGACGGTAATTCGGAATGTCAGTGAAATATGGCACACGTTTACCGTAGATTTGTTTACCGAACTTGTTTATTGATTAAATAATGATAATAATAATAATAACCAGACGGTAATTCGGAATGTCAACAAAATTTAATCAGTTCTAATTAGTCCCTTTCTGACTTGTCCCCAAAAATTCGATGAAATCCGGCAAGCACTTTTTGAGCTAGGCTGCTAACAAACAAACCAACGCCGTCAAAAACATAACCTCCTTGGCGGAGGTAATAATAATAATCATAATAATAATAATAATAATAATAATAATAACAATAAAGATAATGATAATAGTAACAATGATAATATCAATAACAATGATAATAATAATAACTATGATAATAAGAATGATAAATACAATAATACTGATAACAATAATAATGATAATAATAATAATGATAATAATAATGATAATGTTAATAATGATACTGATAATAATGATAATAACAATAATGATAATGATGATAATAATGATAATAATGATAATGATAATGATAGTAATAGTAATGATAACAACAATGATAAAGATTGATAATAATAATAACAATAATCATGATAATACTAGTAACAAGAAGGATTATACCAATAATAACAATAAGAAGAATAATGGTATAATAAAAATGATGATGACAATGATATTAATAGCAATGATAATAACAAAAATGATAATAATGATAACAAAAAGGATAATAATGATAATAACAAAAATGATAATAATAAAAAATAGTGATAATGATTGTAATGATAAAGATCGTGATGATAATGATGAAAACAATAATAACAATAATAATGATAATGATGACAGTAATCATAATAAAATGATAAGGATAATGGTGATAGTGATAACCATTATGATGATAATGATAACAATAACGATAATGTTAACAGTAATAGCAATAATAATGATAAGGATGATGATGATGATAATAATAATAAATGATAATGATAATAATAATATCAATAACAGCAATAATAATAATAATAGTGATGATAATAATAACAATAAAACACATGATAATTGTAATGATGATAATAATGATGATAATAATGATTGTAATAATAATAATAATAGTAATAATAATAATGATAATGATAATAATAATGATAATGATAATAATAATAATAATAATAATGATAATTATTATTATTGTTATCATTATTATTATTATTATTATTATTATTATTATTATTATCATTGTCATTATTTTTATTATTATTATTATCATTATTATTATTATTGTTATTATTATTATTATAATGATGACGATGATGATGATGATGATAATAATAATAATAATAATAGTGATAGTAGTAGTAGTAATACTAGCAATACTAATACCAATACTAAAACTAATAATAATATCATAAATAAAAGTAACAATAAAGATAACGATACAATCACTACTACTATTAACACTAACAAAAACAATAATGATAGTAGTGCCAGTCATGATAATGATAATGATAGCAATAGGGATAATAGTAATGATAATAGTAATGATGATGATAATAATAATGGTAATGATAGTAACAGTAACAATGATAATAGTAACAATAATAATAATAATGATAATGATATCTATAATAATAATAGTGATAATAGTAATAGTAGTAGTAGTAGTGATAATAATAATAATAATAATAATAATAATAATAATTATAATAATAATAATAAATAGAGAAATAAATATATAAATAGAGAAATAAATGAAAAAAAACAAATGAATAAATAGATAAATAAGTAAATGAATGAATAGATAGACTAGAAAAGCACTCAGAAAGTGCAGACCTCCGCCAAGGTGCGTATATAATGTACTTACACCGCTGCTGCGTCCAGACGGTAATTCGGAATGTCAGTGAAATATGGCACACGTTTACCGTAGATTTGTGTACCGAACTTGTTTATTGATTAAATAATGATAATAATAATAATAACCAGACGGTAATTCGGAATGTCAACAAAATTTAATCAGTTCTAAATTAGTCCCTTTCTGACTTGTCCCCAAAAATTCGATGAAATCCGGCAAGCACTTTTTGAGCTAGGCTGCTAACAAACAAACCAACGCCGTCAAAAACATAACCTCCTTGGCGGAGGTAATAATAATAATCATAATAATAATAATAATAATAATAATAATAACAATAAAGATAATGATAATAGTAACAATGATAATATCAATAACAATGATAATAATAATAACTATGATAATAAGAATGATAAATACAATAATACTGATAACAATAATAATGGTAATAATAATAATGATAATAATAATGATAATGTTAATAATGATACTGATAATAATGATAATAACAATGATAATGATGATAATAACCATGATAATAATGGTAATGATAATGATAAAAACAATAATGATAATAATAATAGTATTAATAATGCCAGTGATAATAACAATAATAATAATAATCACAATAATAATGATAATGATAATAACAATAATACCAATGCTAATGATATTAATAATAATGTATTCATGCTAACAAATGTAAAAAAGGCATGATTAACCGGTTCCGAACACATCT